AACAAGGGGTCTGCATTTGCTGCTGCTCCAAGGTGTGATCACAGATTTCATCAGCAAAGTCTGATTTGCAGGTGAAGCATTTCTTGATGGAGAGCTGGGAGGAAGTACAAAGAGGTTAGCAAAAATGTTGGGTTCTGTGTGGCAGAGACAGTTCCATCTTGTTTTCCATGTATCCTCAGTGCCTTGCATAATGATTAGTAAATGATAGGGGCTCAAGAAATAGTGAATTCGTGAACAGATTCAAATTTGGAGTTACTCCCTGGGGCTTTCTCTAATCCTAGAATTTAAAAGACCTAATACAGAGCTGGGGCTGGGGCTCAGTGGTAGAGCGCTCGCCTAGCATGTGTGAGGGTGAGGCTCTGGGTTCAATCTTTAGCATCACATAAAAAGATAAAGTAAAATAAAGGTATTGTGTTCATCTACAACGGAAGGAAGGAAGGAAGGAAGGGAGGGAGGGAGGGAGGGAGGAAGGAAGGGAGGGAGGGAGGGAGGGACATAGCTCCAGACAAGAAGCTGCTAAGTTCACATTTTCCTAGTCACACTATCAAATTTAACTCACAGGAAGAGATCATGAACAGAATACTGATGGATGAAATGTGCTTTCTTTTCCCTGCCTCCACAGGCTGCCTTAGAACATACTGATCCTACTGACCTTTGGAGTTTGACCTCTGGAATTATCAAAATGAACCACTCTCCCAGTGGTTCTTCCATGAATTGGAGCAGGAAGGGACATTTTTTTTTCTTTCTTTTTTTTTTTTTTTGAGAGAGAGAGAAGTTTTTAAAAAATATTTAGCTTTTTTTAGTTTTTGGCAGACACAACATCTTTTGTTTGTATGTGGTGCCTGAGAATTGAACCTGGGCTGCACGCATGCCAGGTGAGTGCGCCACCGCTTGAGCCACATCCCCAGCCCAGGAAGGGACATTTTCTTAAGGATCTGATATGGACATTTCATGTATGCACATGGTCATCTCAAATACTTACCAGGCTAGGGGCAGAACTTTCTTGAATACCTGAGGAGAATAAAAAAATTTCCTTCAATAAAATAAAAATCATCCCTTGATTCTCAGCTGTGTCCTACTAGTCATTTTCTGTAAAAACCCTGTTTCTTTTCTCCTCACTGCCTCTGATTCTTTCTTTCTCATATATACCATTTACTTCTGAAAGAGGGGATCTATATGAGGAAAAATAATAAAATAATGGCATTTTCAATAACTATTTTTAATAATATGTTCATAAGTTATGTTTATGACTCTGTTATATAACTTATGTTATATAATCAGAAAAACACAAAAATGACAGAGAAAAATGACATCTTTTTTTTTTTGGTATTGGGGATTCACTCTTCTTTCCTCTATTTGCTAATGTGATCATCTATAGAGCACACAAGAAACTAATTTCATAGGCTATTATCACCTCTTATAGGCAAGTATTCATTAAAAACTTGTTGTGGCAAGATGGAACCATCAATCTCTGTTTTGTCAGAATCCTGATTTCTACCTCAGCCAATAGAATGATGCCCCATCTTTATTCTGTGCTTGACAGCAACACCCACTTGAATTCTCCTGCTTTACCTAGACACTTTTCATTGAGATTCAAGGCACTGAGCAGAGAATCCAGGGCCTCAAATCCAACATAACCAAAACCTTTAACCTCTCTGGATTGCTGGGTTCATGGAGTAAACAAACTGCATGGATATTTAATCCTCTAAGGATTCCTTTAAGGGGCAGGACATAGTAGTGCACACTTATAATCCGAGCAACTCAGCAGGCTAAGGTGGGAGGAGCTCAAGTTCCAGGCCAGTCTTCGCAACTTAGTGAAACCCTGTCTCAGAATTAAAAATAAAAAGTGTTGGGGATATAGCTCAGTGGTATATAACACTTGAGGGTTCAATCCCCAGCACTGAAAAAACAAAAAGATTCCTTGATGGAATCTTCTATCACATCATAGTGTTAGGTGGTGATTTAGAAAGACAGCTCTAGTAGATATTGGATTCCCAAGCAGCCAATAGAACAATGGGAAGGACAGAGCACTGAACTTAAGGGGCCTTATACACATCATCATCACTACTATGCCAACCAGTGGAAACATTTCTTGCCAAGCCATCTGTCTCATTAGCCCAGCTGACTGACTGGTTTGGAGATACAGGTGCTTCCTTTACTAGTCCCCTCATCCCCAGCCATAAAGTCTACTAGGGAAATAGTCTTTCATTTCTTTTTTATTCTTTTTTGCTGAGGTTGCCATATTGGGGGAAGGAGAGATAATGCAAAGATGCTTAAAAATATCTTCAAACAAAAAATAAAGATTTTTTGCAAAGATTCGGTTGTGACTCTTAAGATAACATTACTGCTTTAAACTGTACAACAAAGTCTTGCATTGCTTTTGGAAACAAAGAAGAAAAGCTCCCTGTTTGGCAGGAGTATGTTACCCTAAGTTCTTGAATAACTACTGTTTTTCACTCCTATTTCCTGTCCTACCATTCAGGAGTCTCAGTGGAGCATACTCCTGCTTCCCTTGGTTGGAACATCAGTGAGCTGTCATAACTGCCAGTTTCTGGGCAGCATAACCTGCTTTTCCAAACCTTAATTAGCATCCTCTACTTTGTATGTGTATATCTTCTACACAAAGACATTTCTCTGATTTATACATTTGGAATATAGCCTCGGGACTCAATTTGTGTCTGCTGCCTCTAGGCGAATGATCTGATTTGCGTCTTCTCAATTCAGATTTATTTCTCAATTAACACTTCTTGTCTGGTAATCTTTCTATTGGGTCCTCAGTTTCTGCCCAGCAAGTCTTAACAATGAGATTGGTCTTAATTAGCATCTCAGGCAAAAAAAAAAAAAAAAAAAAATTAGTGATGGGGATGCAGGCAAGGATTTTCCAGTTAGAATGGCAAAACTGTCTTACCAGAATATGGGTTTCCATAGACAAGACCTGGATTTTGTCCAGCACCTCCTTGATCTGAAGTAGGCACTTGACATGGCAAAGAGTCAAAATCC